TGGTAGTGCATGCCTATAATCCCAGCACCCTGGGAGGCTGAGGTAGGAGGATCACTGATAGTTTGAGGCCAGCCTGGACTACAGAGTGAGACCTTGTACCAAGAAATGCAGGAGAGTTTTCCAAGGGCAGCGATTCTGTCTGTGAACACTGTCCCAGGAACAAAGTTGACATGGTCCCTCTTCATTTACTGTTGTAACCAATAAAGCCTGTTTGAACCCAAAGAAAGAAACATAAAAGGAAGGAAGGGAGGGATGGAGGGAAGGAAATATAGGGAGGAGAGAAGAGAGAAAGAGAAAGGAGGGGAGAGGAGAAAATTAGCATAACACAGGAATAAAATCTGGGGCCTAGTCAGGACACACTAGCCTTTCCACCAGCTAGCTGTGGCCTTGAGCAGTTTCCCTAACCAGCCATTCTGGCTGAGGCCCTTCCCTTTTTTGTTACTTCTTTTTTAAATTTTTATTTTATGTGTATGAGTGTTTTGCCTGCATGTATGTAAGCACACCCATGTCATACAAAGACTTTGGGGGCCAGAAGAGGGCATCAGATTCCCCAGAACTGAAGTTACAGACAGTTGTTAGCTACCATGTGGGTGCTGGGAACTGAACCCAGAACCTTTGCAAGAGCAGCCAGTGCTCTTAACTGCTGAGCCATCTCTCCAGCCCCCTTTTTTTTAATAATTTCTGTAATGTGAGTAAGGGGAATAGGATGCACTGAATGTTCCTGGCTCTCAGTTAACCCATTCTCCACTTTGCACTTAGCCATGCAACAAGACACCTAGACAGGCATGGCAAAGAACAGTTCATGTGGGGCTGAAGAGATGGCTCAGCGGTTAAGGGCACTGACTGCTCTTGCAGAGGACGCGGGTTCGATTCCCAGCACTCACATGGTGGCTATGAACTATCCTTAACTCCAGTTCCAGGGGAATCCAAAGCCCTCTTCTGACCTCTGTGGCATTGCATGACATGGGTGCACTCACATACATGCAGGCAATACACTTGTATACATAAAATAAAAGTAATAAAAAAATTGGAAAAAAAGATATTTTTTTAAAAGAACAATTCATGTATTTAATTTTAATTAATTAATTAGTTAACTTAGACTTTTTGAGACAGGGCCTCCCTATAGCCCCAGCTGGCCTGGAACTATGTAGACCAGGCTGTCCTTGAACTCACAGAGATCTGTCTGTCTGTCTCCTGAGTGCTGGGATCAAAGGCATGTGCCACCATGCTTGGCCACTATGCCTGGCTTTAATTTTTATTTTATTTTATTTTAATTTTTAGATAGGTTCTCACTGTGTAGCCTTTGCTGGCCTGGAACTCAAGAGATCCACCTGCCTCTTCCTCCCCATACATAGTATTGTGTTTTGTTTATTTATTTGTTGACACAGGATTTCACTATGTAGCTCACTGGTTTGGAACTCACTATGTAGACCAGGCTGGGCTTGAATTTACAGAGATCTGTGTGCTTCTGCTTCTTGAGTGCTGGGATTAAAGGTGTTTTTTGTGTGGGGTGGGGTGGCTAGAGAGATGGCCCAGTGGTTAAGAGTATTGGCTGTTCTTGCAGAGGACCTGGGTTTAATCCCCAGTACTAACATGTAACTCTAGTTTCAGGGAATCTGATGGCCTCTTCTGCCTTTCTTCTGTGGGCTTTGTACAACACAGGTGCATTTACATGCTGGCAACACATCTACACACATTAAAAAAAAAAAAGAATAAATAATAAATAAATGTCTTTTTTTTTTGGTCTTTTTTGAGACAGGGTCTCCCTGTAGCCCCATCTGTCCTGGAACTCACTATGTAGACCAGGCTGGCCTTGAACTCACAGAGATCCGCCTGCCTCTGCCTCCGGAGTGCTGGGATTAAAGGCATGGACCACCATGCCCGGTGATGTGTTTTTTTTAAATATTTTATTATTTTTATTTCATGTGTACGAGTGTATTGCCTGTATGTATGTGAGTGCACCCGTGTCATGCAATGCTGCGGAGGTCAGAAGAGGGCTTTGGATTTCCCTGGAACTGGAGTTAAGGACGGTTTGTAGCTGTCTTGTGGGTGCTGGTAATCGAACCCGGGTCCTCTGCAAGAGCAGTCAGTGTTCTTAACTGCTGAGCCATCTCTCCAGCCCAAAAGATGTGTTTTTTAAAAGATAGGGTCTCGGGGCTGGAGAGATGGCTCAGCGGTAAGAACACTGGTTGTTCTTGTAGAAGACCCAGGTTTGAATCCCAGCACCCACATGACAGCTAACAACTATCCCTAATTCCAGTCCCAGGGGATCTGACAGCCTCTTCTGACCTCCGTGGGCATTGCACGACAAGGGTACACTGACCTACATGCAGGCAACACATGCATACACATAAAATAAAAAATAATAATAATAAAAAAATTAAAAGATAGGGTCTCATGTAGCCCTAGCTGATCTTGAAAACACTATACAGCTATGGATGGCTTTGAACTCCTTATCCTTCTTCCTCTGTCTAATGAGTCCTGGCATTCTCTATCACTAAAGGTACTAAAGGCATTCTCTATCAAAACCCTGCAGCAAAGAGCAACTCTGGTTCCTGGTATGGTAGACCTAAGACCCAGGCAACTACATAATACAAGAAAAAGAATTACCCTGGGTTTTCTCTTGGCAGCTAGGTCAGACCCTCAAGCCTACTTAAACCCCAGCACTGCCCATATACTGCCTGGTACACAGGTACCCAGTAATATGTTCCCTAGCCATCTTCTTATTTCCCTTCCTAGCTTCCCACCTCTGTTGGGTGATGGTATTGTTCCCAATCACCTCTAAGGACAGCTCTGCTCCTTGTTTCTTCTGCTCCAGGCTAGCATAGCTGAAGGAAGGCCTATCAGGACATGGATATTTCTAGGCCTTCAAGCTGAGAGCATATCTATCATGCAAACATCAAAATTCATCCACACCTCTGCCCCCCAAAACGTGGCCATGTGATTTCTTGACTTCCTCCGTGGAGCAGTCAAGTGTTCAGATGCCTGTGTTTTCCTTTTCTTGGGCCTACATTCCATCCCTTTTTTTTCAATTCCTTTGTCAGTCCCCTAGGATTTTGTCCTTTCTCTTTGTCAGAAGTTCTCATTCTCCCTCTGAATGGTCACTTTTCCTTCCTCCTGGCCCACCCTCAAATCCTGGCTGAAGAGAGAAAAGGGAAGACAAGTCTTCCTGGGCCTCTGTCAGGCTTGGAGTGATTCTCCTTGGGGATACCCTCCCTATCATAGGGCCCCAACAATCCCAGGTATGAAGTGCCTCATGGGAGATCTCAGTCTTCCTGTACTTATGGAAAGGCAGGAAATCCTGGTTTCTGCTCAAAGACTTATAGTTCAGCTGACCACCAACATGCAGAGTCCACAGATCTTTCCAGACAAGGAGTTTACAGTGCCTGAACAGTATCAGTGCTCTTTTCCCAGTTGTATGGCTACAACTCTTCAGTTTACAAGCAAGGAAATGGATGAAGGTGGTGGAAAAGGTTGCCAAAATTCCATCCAGAATGTGGTGGACCTGAGAGTCTGGCTCTCCAGAACCACCCTAAAAAGCATTCAGATTTAGAGCCTAGCATGGTGGTGCACACCTTTAATCCTAGCACTGGAGAGGCAGGCGGATCCTGTGAGTTCCAGGCCAGTCTGGTCTACAAAGTGAGTTCCAGGCCAGCTGGGGCTACAGGGAGACCCTGTCTCAAAAAGACCAAAAAAGAGCACTCAGATTTTGGAGTCTTTTAACCTCCTCTCTCCCTCCCTCCCCCCTTCCTTCCCCCTCCATCCCTCCTTTCCTTCCGGTATCTGGCATGGAATCCAGGGCTTCCAGTGTGCTAGGCACTGCTGCACCACTGAGTATATGCATCCAGCCCCTACCTTTAATTTTTACTCTCACAGCAGCCCTGTAAGGAAGAGAGCTCCTCTGTAAGGAAGGAGAACCAGCACTTCAGAGCTGAAATGACCTGAAATCTAAAAGAAGGGGAAGGAGAGGGGAGAGCAGGATGAAAAACAGGAGGGAGAGGAGAAGGAAGGGGGGGAGGAGGAGGAGGAGGAGGAAGAGGAGG